CACTGCTTGAGAATGCCTGCAGCCTCTGCTCCACCATGTACCCAAAGAAAGCTTCTGCAGCAGGACTGGCATGCAGGTGCCACTGAATTAGTGCTCGTAAAATGAAGTGACTGAAGTACCCTTCATCTTTTGCAAACCATCCCAGCCATGTGATGGAAGACGTGCCTCTTCATATGACAGGATTGCCCAAACTTATTGCAGGATGGAGGACGCCTACACTTAGGTCAAGTGACAGGTGCAAGCTCCTCACAATACTGAAGGGGACACCAACTGGGGGCTGCTGTTTGTTGGTATTTTGTACTACCAGAAGCACCATCTACTATGAAAGTAAGATTTAATTTCTCTCCCTAGATTTCCCAGTTTTCTGATATTGTCTCTTGAACTTTAGGAGTTATTTGGTGCTTTTACATTTATTTTCCTCAAAGCAAGCACCACAGTCATGTTCCAAAAACTGCATGGAATATCTCTGTATTTACAGGATACCATGCTAGTTCATATTCCTAAAATACACCGCGGAAGCAGCCAGAACTTAGTGGAAGATTTTAGCTGGTTTTTCATGAAGCCTGCAGCCATTACAGAGCTTCTTCAACCTGTGCTGAGACCAGAGAACATGTGCAAGACGAGACCCGGGAGACCGTGGAGCTGCACAATCCAGACCTGGTCCATTGTGCAAACCTCAGCCATGGCAGAACAATACTGACAAGCCATTGCAGGACCTGCTTCAAGAGCCCCAGCCTGTTGACTCAGCCATTCAATGGCCTTCCCCAAACTATAAACCCTAGCCAAGCTACTTCAAACTTTTAAAGCCATGATGATACAAAAAAGTTCCCTCTCATTCACAAAACCGCAATACCACAGTACTGCTAGGGAAGAAGGCGTTTCTTATGACACTACTGTGGCGGGTCTTCAGCTTTAGGTACCCCATCTGATGGGATCTTCTCTGATTTTTTTTCTGGAAGATCATCTTCAAAACAACCCAACCTCTCCCCACAGAATCAGACAGAGGATATTAAATAATGGCTGGGAGATCTGAATGAGGTACAACCAGTGGATACGATGCAACTACGATTCTAGTGACAATAAAGACTGGACATAAGTAGTTGAATATTTCTGCAATTATAAGAAGCTTTTAATACTGGACGACAATCCAGAGCATGGACACTTGAAAGGTGTATATTTTTACATTAGAATAAGTCTCATGAAATGACTACACGGCTAATGAATTTACAACATTTGAAAGGTAGGGAAGAGGGGGCCTAAATCCAAGAGTCGAAACTTTTATTTTCCTTATCGTGCAGTGCATCATATACAGATGATTCTCTTGTGCAAATTAATATACTTGAAATTCTACATTATGATTAGTCATTATCTTAGTGGTACAACCAAAATCTTTCATAAATTAAAGAACATTAATGTATTACTGAAATCCAAAGTACTTCTAGCCAATACTTGCTTCTAAAGAAGCTATGACACTTTCACTCTCTAAGAGTTTCCTTTTGTTTGCTCTCACATTAATCTCCACTTGATTGGAAACTTCTGCTGCAATAACAAAGTTCTCCACTGATGACCCCTCTCACTAAGTATTACAAGCAAATTATTTTTACTTACTCTTGGTATATTTGGAAGTACCAATGCTGCACAAAGGTATTAAACAATCTAATGAAAAGAACATCAACAAGACAAATTTCATACTCAGCTACAGTAAAGACTTAAGGAAGTATGTTTCTTTCTGAATCCCCTGCAGAGAAATTTGCAATCACACCAGGAAAAACCTTGATTCAGAGTTTCAAATCTAACAAAATGAAGTGTAGTATTTTTACTACATTAAGAATGTGATGAATTAAGATAGAAAAAATTATCTGAGCTACAGTGACATAAATGATTCTTGGCAAACCATAAATAGTATCCTCAGATTTTGTACACAAATGCTGGGCTACCATTTAAGAGTTGATCTGTCCAATTACGCCCATCAAACTAATGTACTTTTTTGACAAGTGAGTCTATTTCTGTTCGACTTCATGTGCAAAAGTACAGCAAAGTTCAAAAGAAAGTACACATTGATCACACTGTTGGTGATCCGTTCAGTTCCAGTGGGATAGCTCACGTATATGACTTTATCAGGACCTATGCTTGTAGGACTGGGTCAAAATATCTTCCAGTAAGTTTCATAGCCTTACAAAAATGAAAACTAGCATGCTGACACAGTTATCCGACCAAAGAAAATGGAGCTATCAGAGAGACAAGTCAAAAACAATTTTGTGTTGTATATTTAGTTAGAAGTAAGCTCAGCTTGAAAAGATGCACAGTCTTGCTGCAAATTTCATTTAAAGCAAAAAAAGAGAAACAACAATCCAACATGCTACTTAGTCTAAAACTGTATCTTTACATGCTTTTTAGTGTTGACCACAGACAACACCCCCTTTAAAACCTACAAAACTGTGAACCTGCCAGAACAAAACACCCATTCTGACAGATGCAAAGGGGGCAAGCAAACAAACAGTCAAAGAAAAGGGACAACAAATGCTGGAAGAGAGATGAGTAGGGGACAAACGTACGGCATATGAATAGGAACATCATGCATGTGGCAGATCCGTTATTTTCAGTGGAGCCAGGCAGATGCCACGTAAAAGAATTCAAACCTGGATCTGTAACACGAACAGGCCGCTCAATTCAAGAGGGTAACATCTGTCAGGGACTGCAGCTGGTTATGACTGTCTTGGCCACCAGCAGGAAGACAAGATGTCTCCAAGATACATGAAAACGTCTGGCCAGCATGGCTGCAACCTGGTGCTCTAGAGGTAGAGAGGCATCGTAGCAAAGGGCCCACCGTCTACCCTGGCCGTGCATAGTCCCATTTCAAGTACTGCAGTTCAGAAATCTAGCAGACAGAATTGCCGCTTTTTGCGCTTTAGGGGGTAAACTAGCAGTAGCTGGTGCCTTCTCACTTGAAGCATGACATTGCATCAGTCTCAGAGCACACACCTCTTGTAGCCTACTTTCATCTCTGAGATTGCATCTATCAAAGAAAACAGCAACAGCAGCATGTTCTTCAAAAACACAAGCTCGAAGTTTGCTACCAATAAACAATTCTGGCGAAGGAGTAGGAACTAAGAAGAATCAGAACATTCATTCACAAATACTGGCTGTTTACAGGACATTATGCCTCACAGCCTAAAAATGAAGCTTTATGGCAAAATGCAGTTCTTTTTTAGACAGCATCCATATGCTGTATTTTAAAACCTGGCCACCCACCCAAGTTGCTTACTACATTTATAGAAACATGAGCGTATTCATTCTAATCCTCTCTTTTAAGCAAAGGGATAAATTAAGTGCCCGTAAAATTTTCCTACGTAGTTGCTTACCATACCATTTTCTGGAACAGATTAATAGGCCACCGCCTCAGAGACTGCAGCGTTTCCAGCCGACACAAATACACCGCACTTGCCTTATGAAGTTGTTATCCATCATGTGCTACCTCATTTGCCATAACCAACATGGAGTTTACATAACTAGATAGGAAGCTGCTTCCCTAAACAGTTCGTGTCTTAAAACAACAAAGGATGGGGAAGGAAACAGAAATACAGGAGGTACCTAAATCAAGGTCTTGGAGCTGGTCAGCAGCGGGACTGAAAATAAAACGCAGACCATCTGACCCCCAGATTGTTAGATAAACCTGATTCTCACAAGACAGCAATAACTGTAGTTTGTGTTTACGCAGTCGTTCTGTTTGTCTCCTTCAAAACACCACACAATGGAAAGCACTGGCATCTCCATTAACAGATAGAGATTTGAAGGCGGCATTGATCAAACCGCGCTGTTTGCACGAGGGCGCAGTTCAGTAGGCTTCAACCCTGGGATTCGCTTCCACCAGCGCTAACGCTCCGCCTCAGACACACACAGACCCCGCTGCCTTCAGCGGGGCTCGGCGCGCCTGACCCAGCCGCAGGCAAAGGTCAATCCCATCTCGACTACGCTATGAGTTTAACGTTGCCAAACCTCAAATTCAAGTAGACGTCATTTAAGAACTTGTCTTTAAATTCATCATTTCCAGATTTTAGAGCCCTCGCCGGTTTCTGTAACTAGGTACTTTTCATTGACGAGGCTGTGGGGAGGGGGCGCTGCCGCAGCCTGCGCCCCGCGGGCCACAGGGGCGTCCAGGAGTTGCTCAAACTCCGGGAGCAGGTACGTGGCGTTATCCAGAAGAAGACGAGGCAGCAGGAGAGCACAGAGAACATGTGGCATCGGCGAGCTGCCCCGATGAAGCACAGGTGCCAGGGAAACCGCCTGGCGCCGGCCCTCCCGCTGGCAGGCTGGCACGCCCCGGGAAGGTGCCGCGCTGAAGCCCCCGCGCCGGGTGGGGAAACTCGGCTGGTCCCCGCGGCCCCT